TAATATACCAAAATGAATGCGAAAATGAAAATTAAGTTCGATAATCGTAAACAATTTATAATGTGTTGAAAGTTCAGCCTCACGGAAAATACTCGAACATTATATCACATCGTAATTAGTCGAGAAATCAATAAATAACTATAACAATTGGGAGAAATATCGGATTGGAAGAATTGCAAGGGTACCTCGGGATATCTCGGGAATTTAAAAAAAAATACGAATATGCTTGATAGTAAATTACATTTTTATTTATTTTCTACTTGCAAAAAGTCAAAAAAGTATTTAAATAAAATATTACCAACACTTCATGTCTAATTTTTTTTTTTGTTTTATAATGGATATTCGAATTGTATATTTATATTCTAAATACTGATAATTCATTCCGGTCATTTTTTTCTGACAAAGTCTTCTAAATTTTATTGTCATCATTTGAAGTATTCCGGAAAGAATATCTAAAACTTTGTTTAAATTTGTAAAAATTTTAAGTTGAATACTTATTGCTTTTTTTTATTTCACTCAATAAAATTTTTTTGTTCTCTAAAAAAATTTCATTGAAAAAACATCATTTTCTCTCGTTCTCATTTATCTTTTCACAGCTTGATTGTCCCTTTTCTTTTATAATCTTTTTATAATTTTGTTCAAAAGATAATGAGATTGTTTGATTTATTGAAAAAAAGATGAGTAATTTAATTTAATTAAACATAATGAGACATTTCAGTTCTGGGGCACTGGAAAACAGTATTATAGATTTAAGTATTTGTTTATTTAATTTATTAATTATTTTATTTTATTTCACAATGACAATATAAGAAATTAATATTTTATATTAAATTATGTTATACATCTCGTATGTTTACTTGAATATTTTTGTCAATTGCTGATTACTTCTAGTCATTTGTACAGATTTGAATTTTATTTTACTTTTGTCTATTTCCGTTTTTGCTTGCTTTCGTTTTGTTTTCAGTGGAAATGAACTTTAAATGTTTAAAAAATGAACAAATAAAAATTGTTTTTAAGACAGTGTTTTGAAGCAGATCAAAACCTTAGCAATTTCAAATAATATTAATTAGTAAAGCTATTTAAATGTCTTTTGGTTTGTTTACTACTCAGTTATTCAGTTGTTTCTATCTTAATTTACTGATTATTTTCCTCTATCAAATTCTAAATCTTTCGGGTATCTTATCATGATTGTACAAAAGTAACAAATTAGTATCAGAATATGATAAGATCACAAAAATACGAATACTGATAAAGTCAACCGGATAATGTATGCGTTTATGTCAAAGTGATAATGATTTAATGATTTAATGATTTACAAAATAATTTAATGAATTTAATAATACTAACTTATCATGAAAGACACTGTATTTAATGTATGTATGATCAAACGATTAATAAGGATAGATTATATTATACCGATTGATGAGAATGATTCCAATAATTTTGATATTTATATTGTGGTGATGATTTGAACTTGAACAAAAAAGAAATAAAAAAACTGCTTCATGAAATTTAATTTTTAGTTTATTATCTTTGATCTCTCAGTGAGCAAGAAACAGCAAAGAAGCGAAAAAGAAATTTCAACGAAGAAAAAATTTTAGTCATTTTTCTCTTTTTTTTGAAACAAAAACATTTCAGAATATCTTTGATTTATCGATTTCTATCATCGATAATGGCGTGATCAGTATGTGTTCTGCAATGTGACAAATTGAATTGCCACAGACCGAAATTTATTTAATTCTTTTTTCTTTGTTCCTGTTTGTTTAATAAAAATAATAATAATAATAATAAAGATGAGTTTATGTAGCAATTTAATTAGTTTTTGTTTTTGCCCTATTAATTAAAATTTTTATTATGCTGTAATATTACAAGTTTCACAACAGAAAAAAAGTAAAAAGTAATTTCAGCAGGTGTAACATTCTTTTATGATAGATAATTAAATTATTAAATGAATATGATGAAATCTTACAAAATAATTCTATAAATCAACGTAACGTATAAAAATTGGATTTCAGCCATCCTTGCTTTTAACTTCATTTCAACTGGTTATATTTGTTCAGTAACCTTTGACCCAAACTTGAATTCTTCTTTACCATATTTCGCTCTTCCAATATCACCCTAAAAATCTTCATTCCAATATTAAGAAAGATATTTTATAGTTTTAATTACATAAAAATCTCTTTATGATTTTTATATAATCTATTTCCATTCTAATCCATTTTAATTTATAAAATTATAAACATTTCATCAATGTAAAAAGACAAATATGTTAATTTTGAAATTTTAACTGTGAAATATTACGTAGGCAATTAATCCAATGCACCACCACAAACTTAAACAAAAATAAATAAACAAAAAAAGGTCCAACGAATGGATAGCTGTCATCAGCCAAAATATTGCATTAAATAAAATATTTTGGTAGATGATAGCTTAATCAAAAATAAATAAACAAAAAAGAACAAATATGATTCTGATGTTCGATCAAAGAATCTTTTAATAAGATAGCTTAAAAAAGATCACTCACTTTCCGAGTTTATGATCATCTATTTCAGTCGAAGATAAAGCACTATGAATAAGTAATTGTGTGAATATGTCACGCTGAAACATAGAAATTGATATCGAATATTTATTTTATTTATCCAGTTATTGGAATAATGAGCTTTTTTTTTAATGAAATAGTGACATGATTTAAATTTGAAGTCAATGAATAAAACAATATAGAAGTATTTACTCTATGTATGTTTTAACATCTGGAAAAGAATGTTAATACAATTGACAGTTAATATATTAAATCCTGATGTAAGCACGACAAGCATAAAGCTCTGTAAAGTGAAAAATGTTTCAAAGAAAAGTCTTTTCATAATAGCATTCAAAATAATCGTCTTTTTAAGGTTGGAACAAAAACTGATATGCATTTCGCTTCTGTCTGTCAAATTTAAGATATCAAAACTTCGAAATTTTATTGCTCTGATTAATAATGCTGTAGCATGCATAGCAATATTTACTCCATATATGTTTTAATTTCCGGAAAAAAATGTTAATACAAATTTTGCTAAAAAAACTAAACTTGAATATTAGATGATTGTATTACTATATAATTCAATTCTACAGTATCACTACTGTACGATACGCAAACAAATATATTACAGTACACGTCAGTAAAAATTTTATGTTATATGCATGTAAATTATATCGGTTCTAAGCTTCTTTTAGCATTTCTACAGTATACGTTAACATGTGTTACGGTACATATTATAAGTTTTCTGTATATGCATATGTTTATACAGTAAATATTGAAAACTTACTTGTGCATTACTGCCACCTATGTTATACACATTGTGTCGTATGGGTGCTAATGTTTGAACAACTTTATGATAATCACCATTGTAATAAGAAGTTATTGCATCACAAATAAGTTTTCCTAAATTTCGTGTTCGTTCGTTGTTATCACCACTATTGTTACTGTAATAATACGATATTTATATGAAAATATAAATGATATAACAAACAGACAATTTATTTGGATTTCTCAATTATTCATTAATTTTTGTAGTTTTTTTTTTTCACTATGATAGGTTCAATTCAATTCTATATTTAATTTTTATCCTCTTTCCTGCTTGAAACAGTAATTAAAATTTGTTATCAAACTAGTTTTTTCTTTTTTTAATATGCTAAAACTACATTATAGATATTTTGAAATTGGTAGTGTGGAATTTTGGCATATACAAATAAACTGGCAAATTACGATTAATTAATTACAGGAAAAGACAAACTCTATAAAACTTGTAATACTGTCGCAATGATTTTTTCTGATCGTACTATCATTGCAACCTTCGATGACCATACGAATGTGTGCATCATTAAAAGCTAATATATGATCTAAAATTAAATTTAAATAAATCAAATTCTTGACATTTCTCATTGCTTTTCTTACTATCCTATCCTTCTATAATTTGAAAAGATTGTTTTCAAAATGAATTAATGGTTCAAGAATTCATTTCTTAATCATCCAATCAAATAGCACTTCATGTTTCAAAGATGATATTTCAAATGAGAACGTTTAAAAAAAAATGATTGAAAATTGCTATCAAAATGAAAAAGTCTGAATTGTTGGAATTAATCGCAGTATGTTTCAGTTACAATACTACTTCTTTTCAGAAATTTCTAAAATTAATTATGTATATATAAAAGCATTTACCACTTATATGTGGTTTAATAATTGGTAGAAGGGATTTCCATCGGTTATCAACCGAAATACCTTCCATATGGAAGCGAAGAAGAATTGATGATGCATCCACGATATCCAACATTGCGCCACTTTTTATACGTTCTTCAATCTCTCTAAATACATTTAATCCCGAGATATTTCTTTAAAAAATTCACTTCGCTAATAAAAATTCACTAATTGTGCAAATACAGGACAAAAATATTGCAATGCTTGTCATTCTCTTTCAAATCAAATTAATTATCAGTGAAATATCCAAATAAAATAGCTTAAATGCTAAATTATGTGGTGTAACACATGTGCCCTTTCTACATTTGATTATAATTGTTTACCAGCTAACCAATTAAAAAACTTTCTTGCGCAATATTTTTAAATAGCTGAGAAGGACGTGTAAATTTCAAAAATCAAAAACCAAAATTGATTGAATTCAAGCAGCTGTTAATTACAAATATATGTGGTACCTAGTGTAGTATGACAATGCCTCATCATATTTCCCAAGTTCGATATAGTAAAGTGCGATATGCCAATAATTATGACATGCAAGTAAGGAACATTTCTGAAGCAATGAAAATACGTAATT